ACTATTTACATTTGTGTTGCGAAACTAATATTGTGTTTCGAATTTGAAAATAAAATTCGCGTTGCGAAAATAAACGCGCTTTGCGAATTTGACTTCTGTGTTGCGAATTTGACTTCTTTGCTGCGAATTTGGAAAATCGCAACGCGAATTCGTAAAATCGCAATTCGATTTACATATTCGCGTTGCGAATTTGGAAACTGAGTTGCGAAATTGGAGTTCGCGTTGCGAATTTGTTGGTCATTTTCGCAAATCCAAAAAAAATTGGTTAAAATCGTATATTATAAGGCATTTTCGGTCACTGAATTTATTTTCTCTAAAAAAATTATAATCCGACTCTTAAATTTTTGTCTTCAAAATTACTTTCGTTTATTTTAAATTTATAATTATTTAAATATAATTTATTTATTGAAATTTGTTTTAATAATTCATAGATGTGTGAAATAACCTCAAACAAATTATATAAAATATTGTGCAATTTGAAGTCAAAAAGGTGATTTGCCTCAATGGTAAAGTTGTCCCTAGGACTCCTTTGGTCCTAAATTTGATTCCCCCATTAATCATTTTCATCTTAAATTTTTAATTAAATAAATTTTCTTACTAATCACATGGTATTATGTGTCACTTGAAAATGTATCATAATAATATGTTTACATATGTCACTTCTGGAATGGATGGTTAATTTTTAAATTAAATTAAAATTATACTAAATCAATAGAATACATAAATATTAAAAATTAAATGTACAACTATGACAATTTTATTAAATGATATGTTACCATTTCCGTTAAAAAATAACGGAAAGTGATTTGAATGAACTATTTCTATAATTGAGTGGTTAGATTAGTGGCCAGCAGTATAATTTACCCTAGATTGAAAAGGAAATTGCAGGTGAAGATTTGTTGGGATAGGAAACTCTTTCCAAGAAATGGAAGTTTGAATTTTAGTTTCAATTATTGTTTGCATGTGCCCTCTCCTTCCAATTTTGTATGTTTCCCATGTTCGTATAGAAGTTTTTATATTATATTTTAAATTTTCTTTTAATCTATCTGAAATATTTTAATTATCTATTATACTTAAAAGTTTATTTAATTTACTTATTAAAAAATATTCTAAATTTATAAATATGGAAAATAAATATTTTAATCTAAAATCTCAAAATGATATTAGTTAGACGAAAGGCAACGAGGAGGGGTCCCATTTACAAGGCGTTTTTGAAACGAATTTGATTGGTCATGTGATGGACGAAATACGCTCCAAATGCCTTCGTTTCAATATCATTTTTTAATTTTCTAGTTTCAATTCACACAAAATTAGATAATACAGAAACAAAGCAAAAAAGAGATATGGATATTTGATGTTTGTATTTCATTAAAAGTTAATAAAAAAATAAAAATTTACTTAACAGCATAATAATATGACATATAACATTAATTAATCTAAAAAATTATTAAATTTAATGGAGTAATTAATATCAGTCAAAAGAATAAATTAATCAAATTCCAATACGATAATTTAATAATTTATTATTATTTAAGATAAAGTATACACATAGTCTTCCGGTTATAAGGTATTGTTTTAGTAAGTTCCTTAATTATTAAAAACTATAAAAATAATCCCTGAATATAGAAAACTGTTTTATCAAGTCCTTTAGTTAAAAGTTACAAAATGTTCACTCGACCATTTATTATATTTTAAACTCGTCATTATTCTACAAATTATCCTCAAATGGGTCAACATAGCATCTCCACCCGGATTGTACTTTCAGCCATGGCCTGAAGCAAGTATCCTCAAAACAATTTTCTTTGTACAGGTGTAAGCGTCGACGCAATTGTAGTGGCTAGGCTTAATTTATTCCTTAAGGTCAATGAAGCCGAAAAAAAATTCTACAAAAACAATAAACATACCAAGTTAGATATACCAAAAACTACAAATTATACACTATAAACAGACATGATATTAAACAATGAAAACAAAGCCAAATATGTTTCAAACTTGCACGGTATTCACCCAAGTCATTATTCTATCATAGTTCACAAAATGCATCAGATAACATTCCAGAAGTAAGCACTTATATAAACATTTAAATGGACAACATACAGGTTTAGTGCAGGTTCAAGGACAACATAAAGAGTAGTAGTTTATTCTTGAAACTTAAATTCGCAACACTGTGAAGTTAGTATATGTCTTTGTTTTTTGGTTGGAGTAATGCAATTCATTCAAGTTTCAATTTGCAGAAGAAGAATAGTTTCTGAAACTTAAAATCGCAACACGAAAATCGAAACTAAAATCATGTTGCGATTTTTATTTTCGTGTTGCGAATTTAAGTTTCAAATAGTCTTCTGCAAATTGAAACTTGAATGAATTGCATTACTTCAACCAAAAGACAAAACAAAGACAAATAATAACTTCACAAGGTTAAAGAATAAACAGTTTAGTAGTATTGACAGCAACCGAATGAATTTACTAAGCAATCTAAGTGAAATGGTTAATCTATTACTGAAATTACTAGTAAAATTATCATCAATTTAAATATGAAAAATCTAATAATAATACAAAATTTTCAAAATAAAAATAATTAAAAAAACTAACTCTTGGTGGTTGATTTTCCATTTCTGACTGTGAATGGTTGTGGTAGTGGCTCTGAGAGATAAAGATAGACGGATTTTGCCGGAGATGAGGACGGATGTCGCCGTAGAGAGTGAGAGATGGAGATGGGACTTTGTGATTTAGGGTTTTAGGTTATGATTTACGATTATACTGTTTACATTTATGTTGCGAAACTAATATTGTGTTTCGAATTCGAATATAAAATTCGCGTTGCAAAAATAAAGCGCTTTGCGAATTTGACTTCTATGCTGCGAATTCGTAAAATCGCAATTCGATTTACATATTCGATTTGCGAATTTGGAAACTGAGTTGCGAAATTGGAGTTCGCGTTGTGAATTTGTTGGTCATTTTCGCAAATCCAAAAAAAATTGGTTAAAATCGTATTTTATAAGGCATTTTCGGTCACTGAAGTTATTTTCTCTAAAAAAAATTATAATCTGACTCTTAAATTTTTGTCTTCAAAATTACTTTCGTTTATTTTAAATTTATAGTTATTTAAATATAATTTATTTATTGAAATTTGTTTTAATAATTCATAGATGTGTGAAATAACCTCAAACAAATTATATAAAATATTGTGCAATTTGAAGTTAAAAAGGTGATTTGCCTCAATGGTAAAGTTGTCCCTAGGACTCCTTTGGTCCTAAATTTGATTCCCCCATTAATCATTTTCATCTTAAATTTTTAATTAAATAATTTTTCTTACTAATCACATGGTAATATGTGTCACTTGAAAATGTATCATAATAATATGTTTACATATGACACTTCTGGATTGAAGGGTTAATTTTTAAATTAAATTAAAATTATATTAAATCAATAGAATACGTAAATATTAAAAATTAAATGTACAACTATGACAATTTTATTAAATGATATGTTACCATTTCCGTTAAAAAATAACGAAAAGTGATTTGAATGAACTATTTCTATAATTGAGTGGTTAGATTAGTGGCCAGCAGTATAATTTACCCTAGATTGAAAAGGAAATTGCAGGTGAAGATTTGTTGGGATAGGAAACTCTTTCCAAGAAATGGAAGTTTGAATTTTAGTTTGAATTATTGTTTGCATGTGCCCTCTCCTTCCAATTTTGTATGTTTCCCATGTTCGTATAGAAGTTTTTATATTATATTTTAAATTTTCTTTTAATCTATCTGAAATATTTTAATTATCTATTATACTTAAAAGTTTATTTAATTTACTTATTAAAAAATATTCTAAATTTATAAATATGGAAAATAAATATTTTAATCTAAAATCTCAAAATGATATTAGTTAGACGAAAGGCAACGAGGAGGGGTCCCATTTAGAAGGCGGCGTCGAAACGAATTTGATTGGTCATGTGATGGACGAAATACGCTCCAAATGCCTTCGTTTCAATGTCATTTTTTAATTTTCTAGTTTCAATTCACACAAAATTAGATAATACAGAAACAAAGCAAAAAGAGATATGGATATTTGATGTTTGTATTTCATTAAAAGTTAATAAAAAAATAAAAATTTACTTAACAGCATAATAATATGACATATAACATTAATTAATCTAAAAATTATTAAATTTAATGGAGTAATTAATATCAGTCAAAAGAATAAATTGATCAAATTCCAATACGATAATTTAATAATTTATTATTATTTAAGATAAAGTATACACATGGTCTTCCGGTTATAAGGTATTGTTTTAGTAAGTTCCTTAATTATTAAAAGCTATAAAATAATCTCTAAATATAGAAAACTGTTTTGTCAAGTCCTTTAGTTAAAAGTTACAAAATGTTCACTCGACCATTTATTATCTTTCAAACTCGTCAATTTTTATTAAAATATTGATGATAATATGAGTTGTACGTTAACCTGCTGATCGAGATATTATAAAAATAATTTCAAATGACTATCATATTTCAGTCAATGTATTAACATACAACTCATACTATCATTAATTATTTTAATAAAAAATACGAGTTTAAAATATAATAATTAATAAAATAGAGAAAATTAAACAAAATATTTTTTTATGCGGTGGAAGGATGATTTATAATGTTATTTATTGAAAATTTGAGTCTTCGTAGACTTCACTACTTGAGCATAATTTATATATAATTTTAATTTGGATAACATGTCTGAAGCAAAACGCGTACATCAATCTGGCAACCTTACTCTTCAATTTCAAACCGCTAATATCGGAGAATCACATGCTCATCAACGGTTGAGACTTCATCATATAACGTGCATAAAACAAACTGGACCCACTTGCTTCCCACTCCTCACGCCACGCGTCCACATCTTACATCCCGTGATTACTGCTGCACTCTACCACTTATCCGGTAAAAGAACCACGTAAAATCAAATAACAAATATACATATAAAAACATGAAAAATACAGTCAGACCCCAGCTCAAAAAAAACTTAAAAAGCGGCCTTTCCCGTCTCTCTCTTCCTTTACTCTTTCTCGAACTCCAGCTTAATTCAGCTAAAATGGCACCGTCATCTCGTCCACCAGCGCCGCCGTCTTCTATGGTTCTTGTTCTCCTCTTCCTTTCCTCCGCCGCATTGCTTTGTGAATCGAGGTTAAGCTTAGATTACTACTCGAAAACCTGTCCGAGTTTCAACAAAATCATGCAGGAAACCGTAACAAACAAGCAGATCACCAGCCCGACAACCGCCGCCGGAGCGCTTCGTCTCCTATTTCACGACTGTCTCCCCAACGGATGCGATGGCTCAATCCTCATTTCCTCCACCGCATTCAACAAAGCCGAACGTGACGCCGACATCAACCTGTCTCTCCCCGGAGATCCCTTCGACCTCATCGTCCGAGCCAAGACGGCCCTCGAGCTCGCCTGTCCCAACACCGTCTCCTGCTCCGACATCCTCTCCGTCGCCGCCCGTGACCTCCTGACGATGCTCGGTGGACCCTACTACAACGTTTACCTTGGCCGTAAAGATTCACGGTTGTCATCGGCTTCTTTGATAGAAGGGAAGTTACCCAAACCCAGCATGGGAATGTCACAACTCATCAATCTCTTTGCTTCGAGTGGGTTCACTGTTCAAGAAATGGTGGCCTTAAGTGGTGCACATACCATTGGGTTCTCCCATTGCAAAGAGTTCAGCTCAAATATCGGCAATGACACCCATACAACCCCAGATTTGCCCAAGCATTGAAACAAGCTTGTGCAGATTATCCAAAGAACCCAACTCTATCTGTTTTCAATGATATCATGACCCCCAACAAATTTGATAACTTGTATTACCAGAATTTACCAAAGGGTTTGGGGCTTTTGGAATCAGATCACGGATTGTATAATGATCCAAGAACAAGGCCATTTGTGGAATTGTATGCAAAGGATCAAACCAAGTTCTTTCAAGATTTTGCTAAAGCTATGCAGAAGCTAAGTGTTTATGGGATCAAAACTGGGAGGAGAGGAGAGATTAGGCGCAGGTGTGATGCTGTAAACTGAGTCTTTTTCAGCTTGTTAATTATATAATTTGATGCGGTTTTGAATTCATTTGAGAAATATCATTTATACTTGTCTTTGTTTGTATCAATTGTCACATTACCAGGCTTCAATTTATATACATATTTAGTTACTCTGTTTTCTGGGTTTCAGAGTTCAAATCTTTTGATTTTGTTGTTGTTCAATGCAGTAGATCTTCCTGTGTTAATTTAGTCTAAACATGGGGATAAAACAACAATGAAATCAGGTAGAAAGAGGCCTTCTTTTTTGTGTGTGGGGTTAAAATTGATGATGTTGAATTGTTTAAGGTATTTTGTTTACTTTTGTCTCGTCTTTGTTTTCTTCAAGAAATCCTGGTTTAGTCATCAAGTTGACATTATAACGGTGAGTCTATTACCATATGTGATGATGCTTTTATGTTTTGCTTAGGCTCGATTGTAAGTGTTAAGATTATATGGATGTTTTCTTTCTTTATGTTTTTTTAAAGACTCCATGTATTGGTCACTTGAAACATAAGAATCGAACCAACCTGATGTTGGAGGCACAGTTGGTTTGTTGGTTTGAGGATTGAAATTTGAAATGCCTTAGCTTTCAAACTTGCACATCTCACCTCTGAGCTTCAACTTTTTTAATTTAGTCATTAAACTTTTGATTTACTCGTGTATTAAGTCATAAATGTTCAATCATAAGTAGACAGATGGCATCACAGTCATATGCGATGATGTGGATTTTTTTACATGGGAGCGAGGGCCTAGACATGCCCAAAAAAGGGTAAATTATTTATTCAGTCACCCATTTATTATTTAGTTTTTGTTTTGGTCACTCCATTATTATTTATTTTAAATCGTACTTAATGTTACATTTTCTTTATGTTTTGGCCACTCGTCTTTAAAAAATTAGTGCTGATGTTGATGTCTCATCATAAGATCATGTCACATCATGATTGAAAAATAATTTAAAATGTCATATTAACATTCGTCTTTAAAAAATTAGTGCTGATGTTGATGTCTCATCATAAGATCATGTCACGTCATGATTGAAAAATAATTTAAAATGTCATATTAACATATTTCTTAATTTTTTTAATGGTATGTGATCAAAATATAATCAAATCGTAAGGTTGACTATAATTTTGAAAAGATATAATAGTTGAGAGACCAAAATATAAATCAAATAATATGTGGGGTAACCAAATAGTTAATTTATACTGAATAAAAAAAATGTATCAAATAGTTAATTTACACTGAATAAAAAAATATGTATGAATTATGCTAAACATATTAGATTCGTTCAATTAATATATTTTTTTCTAGATTTAATTCATATATATAATTGTTATTATATTTTTAAATTATTATATATTTGTGTGTGTTGATTATTTTAGATAAGAATTTATAATGTTATATTGTCTCGGCTGACAAATTTGTTTTGGATTCACCATTCTATGTATCATTCATATCATTTTTTTATCTTCTTTTTCCAAAAATGAATGTTTTCTCTAATCACTTTGAAATTCTAAGTCATTGTTACAATTACCATTATCCAATAGTCTTCTATAATCACTCAAGATATTGATAAATTCTATTAGTTTAGACTTTATCTATATCACTTTAAAACTCTACAACCTTAAAACTTATAAAACCCTAAATCACTCTTATCTATAATATCCACCATCCAATCAATATGAAATCAATATTTACAATATGTTTCTCATTTTTCACATCCTTACTATTAGGATCCGGAAGAAGATGTTTTATCATACAAAACTAAAGAGAATTTGAAAGTAGAGTTTTTTTCTAGGGGTGTTCACTGTTCGGTTAAAATTGAATTAACCGATCAAACTGAAATTTTGTTCAATTAATCGGTAGGTTAACAGTTTTTTTTTCAATTTTGGTTTCGTTTAATTCGGTTAGAAATCAGTTAATTAACCGAAATTATTAAATATTTAATGTATATATATATATATGTATATATATATTAACTTTAGGGGTGTTTGAACTCGGTTTTTACTGAATTAGCCGACTAAATTAACCAAATAAACTAAAAAATATTAAATATTAAATATCAACGCATATAATAAAAAATAAAAAATAAATCAAGCGTAAAATAGAAAAAGGATAGAGGAACAAGTATTGACCTAATTAGTATTAAATATGTCAAGTTACATATACGCAAATAGAAAATGTTAATTTTTATTAAAAAAATATTTAAATTACAATAAAGATTTATAATTATAAAAATAAATTAAATATTAATTACAATTTTTCTATAATTATTTTGTATAATAAATTAGTCATTTGAGATCATTATATAAAAATCATACAAATAAAATGTAAAAAAATCATATAAGAAACTCGAATAAAATATAGATTCGATCGGATCTAATTACATCGATAAATAAACTACAACATGAGATCAAACTATTGAAAGACCATAGACAATAGCAAGTCAGAGTTGAGCATTATGAGAAAATTATCTTGGAATCAAATTGTGTATCTAAATCTAATCCGAGAGTTTAAAGTATGAAATATTATCATAATAACAAAAAAAAACTATATTTTGATCAATCGATGAGACGTTAAATCAAACCTTAAGAAAATTAAACGAAAAGAAGAATTAAATCATGGAAGAAAATCAAAAATAAAAAAATATGTCATACAAATAAAATTATTAAAAAAATAAAGAAAAAATATAAAATAAATATGAAGAGTGAAAGATGAACTGAAATTAGTGTTTAAAACCAAATATATAGGTGTTAGTAGAAAGTAAATTGAAACGTAAGACATACAATTCAGAATCCAGCTAAGAAGAAAAGCATAGCTTTCTTTTTCAGAATCAATTCTCCATCCGTTAGCTTTAGGATGAGTTCATACCTCTGTTTTGAAAATCAGATCGGACCGGTCGGTTCAACTGATTCAACTGATAATCGTTATTTAGTCTGGTTTAATCTAAATCGGTTGAACCGTTATTAGTGAATCGACCAGAACCGTTGAACCGTTCGAACAAGACTGGCTGAAAACCGAAAAAAATCGAGAAAACCCGGGATTTTTTTTTTAAATTAAACCAAACAACGTCGTTTGTTAAACGAGCCAAGTCGAACTCGAGTATTGCTGAGCTCGACTCGAACTTGAAAACTTTAAAAGTAAGTTCAACTCAGCTCAAACTCACAAGCTAAAAATTATCAAGTTCAACTCAAACTCGAAATATAATATTAAAACTTGAACTAAAAAGGCTTGAACTCAAAAAAAAAAATTAGAAGCTCGATTAAAGCCTAAAATTCGAGCTTGATTGAAGTGAAAGAATAGTTCACTTAATGCTCACCAAAAGGCTCCATGATTTTGAATGCCAAATTATCTCTATTATTTATAGAAGTTAGTTGTGATGCGCTTCTATGTTTCTTAGCAATGTGAGATTGTTTTGTTCTCATATTTTTTCTTTTTAGACTTTTGGGATGCTCTTCTATGTTTCTTAACCATGTGGGATTGTTTTTAAAAAAAATTAAACCAAACAATATCATTTTATTATGATTTTTAACCCCAAATTTATTTTTTAATTATAATTATATAATTATATTTATTATTTAATATGTTTTACCTTAAATATTATGTTGTAGTTAATTTGAATAATTTTGTTTTACTTGATTTTATAGTTTTTAACTTATATATATTATGACTTGCTTTGAATATAACTTGTAATATAAAAAATTATTTTTTATTAAATATTTTTGATATTTTTATTTAATTTTTTAAATAATTATGACGTCGTTCGATTCTTCCGACCGATCAGATCGATTCGACCAGTTGAACTAATGAACCGATAGCATGACCCGTTCACTAATCGGTCTGATTCTGAAAACCATGGTTCATACATGACCCGTCTTTTCCATCACCGAGTCGCAACCGAGTTCGAGCACTAACCCCGAGTCAAGCAACGCTTCCCAGTCCACTTCCTCTTGTTCCTCCTCTCTCCCCCGTTTCAACATCTCCAACATCCTCCTCACTTTCTACCTTGTCGGCCCACTCGTCGTCCTCTCCACCTTTTCCAACTCCTCCACCGCACCGGCCACCTTCGCCAGCCCCTTTAACCTCAACCCGCCTGACTCGGTCCATACAAACCGCCACACAACCTTCCCGAGTTGAGTCATCCAACTCATTCCTCCTCAACAAACTCATCAAACACTCCACCGCACCCGAATCCAACATTGCCGCCCTACCGTCCGAACCCGAAGTCAGGTTACACAATATAAGGAACACCCGATCCATCATATGACCCGATTTAACTATACTCAACAAAACCGGAACCGAACCGTTCTTAACCAATTTACTTCGATTGCTCTGAACGAGCGAGAGATGGTAAAGCGCCAAGGCCGAGTCATAGCGAGTCCGCTCAGTCCCTGATCTCAGCATGTGCATCAATGGTTGCAAAGCTCCCAAAGCTCCGATGGCGGTCTTGTTATGATCATCAAAGGCTAAGCTAAAGAGTGCACCGCAAGCATGCTCCTGCGCCTCACGGGATCCCGATTTCAACACATTGATAAAAACGGGAACCAATCCTGACCGTACGATCTTAACCTTGTTGATCTTTTCCAACGATAAGTTCACCAACACTGCAATTGAGTTCACTTGAATGTTCACGTACCTGGAAACGATCAAAGAAAATCTGATAGTACACGTGGCGTGCAAAGAACAGCCCTGGAACTCTCTTGTGTTCTAATCTTCCTTAATTCAATCAATGCTCCTTGGATGTCGAAAGCTTGTGAGCTTTTCAGTTTCGTGAGAAACGATTCTTCTTCTTCGTTGATGTTACGGGTCGTTAAGGTTTCGATTTCCGAGGAGGATGAAGCGGATGAGTAGCAACTCGGACGATCCGTGAGTTGTAATGGCGGTGTTACGACATTGATCGGAGTCCTAAAGGCGGCAGCGGCAACCGATTCATCGGAGCTGGAACGAGTTAACTCAGTGACTGCATGATCCAACTTCACTGAAGGAACATCTTTGACGCCTTGAATCAGATTTCTTTCTGTAACAGATATCCTTTTTTCTTCTTCTCCGATGTGGGTTTTTGGGTTTCTGGACGATAATGTACGAACAAGTTCCTGAGCTCTGGAAAACTCAAGGGGTTTTGGAGGGTTTAAAGAACGATTTTGACACCA